GCCTTTCAGATCGGAAACTACCCATAGTCAGGGCACTGGCGTCCCACCCCATGGAGCAGGCGCTCCTCTTTTCTCGCGCTTTGCTCAGAGCAGTGGCCGAAACCTCCTGCACATAACCCTACACCTTTGAGGCGCAGTGCTGGGTTGGGTGGGGCATATCCCGTGCCTTGGCATGAGATGGTGGAAGTTTGGGTTCTTTAGGGTCGGGGGCTTATGTTTCGGGTTCAAGGGTCAGGGCCCTTGCGTTGGCGACCCGAAATTTCCAGAAGAAAGGTCCTAGGCAGTGGAGTAAAAGAGCCAGCAGCCAGCACCTGACTTCCGAAAGAAGCAGTGAGCAAGGACCAGGCCAAGGAATGGTCTGGTACCCGAAGCTCTCAAGTTTGTTTGGGTGTGTATAAGTGCAGTTGCAAGTGTAATCAGTTGTAAATGTGTACTTTGGGACAGAGAGGGGTGTGGAATGGCATTCCCTCCATCGTGCCCCAGCCAGCACGCAGGTGCAACGTAGATTCCGTTTGTCACAGCTTGGGGAAGCCTTATCCGAAACAGACGACACCCATGATGGAGACTCCAAGCCCTGAACGGCCACAAGCCTAAACCCTATAAGCACCTCTAAGCCCAAGACATCCCTGAGCCTCAAACACCCCCAAAGCCCCTAAGCATCCCTAAGCTCCTAAGCCCTAAGCATCCCTAAAAACCCGAAACGTCCGCAAGCCCCTAAACATCCTGAGCCCTAAGCTCTACACATCCCGAAGCCCTGAAACATCCCGAAAGCCCCTGCCCAAACCCCCCCCTCAAACCCCCCCAACCCTAAACCCTAAACCCTAAACCCTAAACCCTAAACCCGAAACCCTAAACCTAAACCCGAAACCCTAAACCCCCCCCCCCCCCGACCCCCCCCCCCCCCCCTTGCGGGCTCTGCAGCCGACGCCCAGGCTGCCCTTCCTCCCGGGTGCTGCTCCGGCCCCAGCGCAGCCCAAGCACCATGAGGCCCGTCCAAGAAGCTAAAAAGACGTATACATTATATGTATATGGTAGCATATGTATGTATGTATGTATGTATGTATGTATGTATGTATGTATGTATGTATGTATGTATGTATGTATGTATGTATGTATGTATGTATGTCTGCATGTATGTATGTATGTATGTATGTATGTATGTATGTATGTATGTATGTATGTATGTATGTATGTATGTATATTAGTATATATATATATATGTATACATAATAATATGTAAATTAGATAAGATTAGCATATGTGCATATGTCTATGGTGGTAGCATGTGTATATATATATATATGTATAATTAGAGAAATAAGACATAAACATAAATTGACATAACGAGAGCTCTGTATAAAAAGAGGAGCGATCGAAGAGGCAGCGCATCGTTTAGAGATCTTCATCCCATTCTGCGAGAAAGCCTTCAGTTGCAAGGCTGAACGGTTGACGGCTGAGGGATTTAGGGTTTAGGGTTTAGGGTTTAGGGTTTAGGGTTTAGGGTTTAGGGTACCCCCTCTGCGAAGCCACTGGCTCAGGAGCAGCCAGCCTTAAGGGGGTTAGGGGAAGGCCGAGGGAGCCGTTCAGGGCAGGCTCTTTCGTGTCCTCGCATGGTGCAGAGAAGATCAGGGCTGGGGACGCTCTAACGAACAATCAGGGAAGAAGTAAATTCAGCTTGAGATGTACAGATTGCGTTTGGCGTTGGAGCTGGCCACTTGCAACAGCAAAGTTATGCCGTGAGCACTGCATTGAGTGCTAACTGAACGGGGCTTACTCTCCCCATGCCTCCTTCCGTGAATGTGGGGGAATCAGCTGGAGATGTACAGATTGCGCACCCGCTCTATGGAATTCCATGTTTGGGATGTTTGCTTGGAGACATGTCGGAAATGGAGCTGCGAAACCTGATGAGTCGTCCGATTCAGCAGAGGAGGCAGAGGAAGCACGGCCGCGCAGCCAACCCACAGGGAGCTCGCTCCCGTACATGCTGCGGGGAAAGTCCCCGTGCCTTTGGGCAGAAAGTGCCATTGGGAGACCAAAAGGCCAGTTCTTTCAGCTTGCAATGAAGCCTCGCGTGGAGTTGTTTGGCTTTGGAGCTGGCCACTTGCAACAGCAAAGTTATGCCGTGAGCACTGCATTGAGTGCTAACTGAACGGGGCTCACTCTCCCCATGCCTCCTTCCGTGAATGTGGGCTACACATGGCCAGGAATCAGCTGGAGATGTACAGATTGCGCACCCGCGCTATGGAATTCCATGTTTGGGATGTTTGCTTGGAGACGTGTCGGAAAGGCAGCTGCGAAACCTGATGGGTCGTCCGATTCAGCAGAGGAGGCAGAGGAAGCACGGCCGCGCAGCCAACCCACAGGGAGCTCGCTCCCGTACTTGCTGCGGGGAAAGTCCCCGTGCCTTTGGGCAGAAAGTGCCATTGGGAGACCAAAAGGCCAGTTCTTTCAGCTTGCAATGAAGCCTCGCGTGGAGTTGTTTGGCTTTGGAGCTTGCCACTTGCAACAGCAAAGTTATGCCGTGAGCACTGCATTGAGTGCTAACTGAACGGGGCTCACTCTCCCCATGCCTCCTTCCGTGAATGTGGGCTACACATGGCCAGGAATCAGCTGGAGATGTACAGATTGCGCACCCGCTCTATGGAATTCCATGTTTGGGATGTTTGCTTGGAGACATGTCGGAAATGGAGCTGCGAAACCTGATGATACGTCCGATTCAGCAGAGGAGGCAGAGGAAGCACGGCCGCGCAGCCAACCCACAGGGAGCTCGCTCCCGTACATGCTGCGGGGAAAGTCCCCGTGCCTTTGGGCAGAAAGTGCCATTGGGAGACCAAAAGGCCAGTTCTTTCAGCTTGCAATGAAGCCTCGCGTGGAGTTGTTTGGCTTTGGAGCTGGCCACTTGCAAAAGCAAAGTTATGCCGTGAGCACTGCATTGAGTGCTAACTGAACGGGGCTCACTCTCCCCATGCCTCCTTCCGTGAATGTGGGCTACACATGGCCAGGAATCAGCTGGAGATGTACAGATTGCGCACCCGCTCTATGGAATTCCATGTTTGGGATGTTTGCTTGGAGACATGTCGGAAATGGAGCTGCGAAACCTGATGAGTCGTCCGATTCAGCAGAGGAGGCAGAGGAAGCACGGCCGCGCAGCCAACCCACAGGGAGCTCGCTCCCGTACATGCTGCGGGGAAAGTCCCCGTGCCTTTGGGCAGAAAGTGCCATTGGGAGACCAAAAGGCCAGTTCTTTCAGCTTGCAATGAAGCCTCGCGTGGAGTTGTTTGGCTTTGGAGCTGGCCACTTGCAACAGCAAAGTTATGCCGTGAGCACTGCATTGAGTGCTAACTGAACGGGGCTCACTCTCCCCATGCCTCCTTCCGTGAATGTGGGCTACACATGGCCAGGAATCAGCTGGAGATGTACAGATTGCGCACCCGCTCTATGGAATTCCATGTTTGGGATGTTTGCTTGGAGACATGTCGGAAATGGAGCTGCGAAACCTGATGAGTCGTCCGATTCAGCAGAGGAGGCAGAGGAAGCACGGCCGCGCAGCCAACCCACAGGGAGCTCGCTCCCGTACATGCTGCGGGGAAAGTCCCCGTGCCTTTGGGCAGAAAGTGCCATTGGGAGACCAAAAGGCCAGTTCTTTCAGCTTGCAATGAAGCCTCGCGTGGAGTTGTTTGGCGTTGGAGCTGGCCACTTGCAACAGCAAAGTTATGCCGTGAGCACTGCATTGAGTGCTAACTGAACGGGGCTCACTCTCCCCATGCCTCCTTCCGTGAATGTGGGCTACACATGGCCAGGAATCAGCTGGAGATGTACAGATTGCGCACCCGCTCTATGGAATTCCATGTTTGGGATGTTTGCTTGGAGACATGTCGGAAATGGAGCTGCGAAACCTGATGAGTCGTCCGATTCAGCAGAGGAGGCAGAGGAAGCACGGCCGCGCAGCCAACCCACAGGGAGCTCGCTCCCGTACATGCTGCGGGGAAAGTCCCCGTAAATTTGGGCAGAAAGTGCCATTGGGAGACCAAAAGGCCAGTTCTTTCAGCTTGCAATGAAGCCTCGCGTGGAGTTGTTTGGCTTTGGAGCTGGCCACTTGCAACAGCAAAGTTATGCCGTGAGCACTGCATTGAGTGCTAACTGAACGGGGCTCACTCTCCCCATGCCTCCTTCCGTGAATGTGGGCTACACATGGCCAGGAATCAGCTGGAGATGTACAGATTGCGCACCCGCTCTATGGAATTCCATGTTTGGGATGTTTGCTTGGAGACATGTCGGAAATGGAGCTGCGAAACCTGATGAGTCGTCCGATTCAGCAGAGGAGGCAGAGGAAGCGCGGCCGCGCAGCCAACCCACAGGGAGCTCGCTCCCGTACATGCTGCGGGGAAAGTCCCCGTGCCTTTGGGCAGAAAGTGCCATTGGGAGACCAAAAGGCCAGTTCTTTCAGCTTGCAATGAAGCCTCGCGTGGAGTTGTTTGGCTTTGGAGCTGGCCACTTGCAACAGCAAAGTTATGCCGTGAGCACTGCATTGAGTGCTAACTGAACGGGGCTCACTCTCCCCATGCCTCCTTCCGTGAATGTGGGCTACACATGGCCAGGAATCAGCTGGAGATGTACAGATTGCGCACCCGCGCTATGGAATTCCATGTTTGGGATGTTTGCTTGGAGACGTGTCGGAAAGGCAGCTGCGAAACCTGATGGGTCGTCCGATTCAGCAGAGGAGGCAGAGGAAGCACGGCCGCGCAGCCAACCCACAGGGAGCTCGCTCCCGTACTTGCTGCGGGGAAAGTCCCCGTGCCTTTGGGCAGAAAGTGCCATTGGGAGACCAAAAGGCCAGTTCTTTCAGCTTGCAATGAAGCCTCGCGTGGAGTTGTTTGGCTTTGGAGCTTGCCACTTGCAACAGCAAAGTTATGCCGTGAGCACTGCATTGAGTGCTAACTGAACGGGGCTCACTCTCCCCATGCCTCCTTCCGTGAATGTGGGCTACACATGGCCAGGAATCAGCTGGAGATGTACAGATTGCGCACCCGCTCTATGGAATTCCATGTTTGGGATGTTTGCTTGGAGACATGTCGGAAATGGAGCTGCGAAACCTGATGAGTCGTCCGATTCAGCAGAGGAGGCAGAGGAAGCACGGCCGCGCAGCCAACCCACAGGGAGCTCGCTCCCGTGCATGCTGCGGGGAAAGTCCCCGTGCCTTTGGGCAGAAAGTGCCATTGGGAGACCAAAAGGCCAGTTCTTTCAGCTTGCAATGAAGCCTCGCGTGGAGTTGTTTGGCTTTGGAGCTGGCCACTTGCAACAGCAAAGTTATACCGTGAGCACTGCATTGAGTGCTAACTGAACGGGGCTCACTCTCCCCATGCCTCCTTCCGTGAACGTGGGCTGCACCGAAGTGCGCTGCGCCGCCTGTCCTTCGTGGCTGTCGAGCAAAAGTCGTCTTGGGAGCCATCAAGTGGATTGTAAGACTTCATTCCTTGAGTTGCATGAATCATAGAAAGCCTCAAACCAAACTTCTTGAGTTGGGAGTAGATGTCTGAAGCGTGCGTGCGAAGACGGGAAGCGCAGTCCCCCCCTAAGCCACCAGCACCAACACCCTCAGGGCTTGCGATGCCTGATGCCGCAACTTGGATTGGTTTCTGGAAGTGAGAGGCGGCACTTACACAAGAGTGTTTAGAGGGATGTTCTAGGGCCAGGATTGCAGGCGCATAGGGTACCAGGGTAACAGGGGTTGTACGGGTTCTGCATGACAGCCTCTCCAATCCGCGGCTGAACTGAGGTATTTAATGAACTGCACGCACTGGCATGCGACCTGCCTTCAAGATCTTCGGGTTTGCGGCTTTCAGGGGTTCAGGGCTTCTTAAGTCTTGTCGCGGCTTGATGTTGAGTTCGCATCTTGCTGGCCTCATCAGAAAGTCGGGAAATTCAGGGTTTGCAGGGGATGAAGCGTTGAAATCGGCCCGCGACTCAGCCGCCGGAAGGTCACGAAATCCTTGCAAGCTGTCGAACCATCCAGCTTCCAGACTCTCCAAATTCGTGAAAGTTAAAGCCATCGTCCTATTGTCAGGGGGTGGGGGGTTTAGGGTTTAGGGTTTAGGGGCAAGTGATACGACTGCTAAGCCTTGCACCCGTGGGAGATGAGAATGCCTGGTCGAAGTTCTCCCGCAGATGATTGCCGGCTAAGGGCTTGTCGGCTAGCCGGCCGTGCCCCCAAGAATGTCCATTCATCGCGCAAGTGACGCGTGGCCAGCATCTAGCTGCGCGTGTGCGCGTGCCCATGAAGACCTGCGGTTCAGCTTAAGCAGGGTTGAGGCTTCTGAAGAGCTCTGCGCTGGATGCCGGAGCCAGAGTCAGGGGACTAGAGCCCTAGAGGCCAGTGCTTGAACAGAGTTGCGGTATCCATTTCTCAACCTGAGGGTCCCCCTTTACATGCCTCAAATCCCTCAGGATCCCCAAATTGGCACCCTAATGTTTGGAAACTCCCCACATCTCGCTGGCGGTCCCTCAACCCCAAAAACCCAGAACCCCACAAGCCTAAGACCGAAAAAGAAGCCCTAAGGAAGCCCTTCGCCTGCGCGTTCACTTGCGTCAACGTCCGACCCAAAGTTGGGGTTTGGGACAGGGTTTGAAGGAGTTTAACCTAAACCCTAAACCCTAAACCCTAAGCCCTAAGCAATAAACCCTAAACCCGAAATAGGGGTGCGAGTTTGGGAGTGTTTAGGGTTTAGGAAAGTTTAGGAGTGTTTAGGGTTTAGGGCAGGTGATGTGCATGACAGGAAAACATGTAGGAGCGCCACCGTTGAAACCATTCTGCTTTGAAAGCGCCTTTTCCACCCTGGAGTTTCAGGGTGATCGCCATTCCCTAGCCCTAAACACCCTAAACCCTAAACCCTGAACCCCAAACCCTAAACCCTAAACCCTAAACCCGAAACCCCAAACCCTAAACCCTAAACCCTAATGCGCAGGTGACGCAGTGCCGCTACACCGACCCGAACATGGGCTTCGCCAACCCCATCTCCCAGCTCTGTGAGGAGTCCCACTCTTGGACACGCGTATAGGGGGCTTAGGAAAAAGAGGATCATATAGGGGCGTTCAGAATGAGAATAGGGTTTATTGTTTAGGGTTCAGGGTTTAGGGCTGGGGGTATAGGGGCCTGGACAATTAGAATAGGGTTTTGGGGGGTCGTTGTAGTATAAATACAAAGGGACCATGAGGCTTATAAAGGAAATACTAAATATGAGTATTTATTCCGACCCCTACATTATGCAGTTCCACCCCCCTCAGCTTTTGCAGTCCTTCACATTGTCCAGGACCCTAAACCCTACACCCTACACCCTAAACCCTAAACCCTAAACCCTAAACCCTAGACCCTAGACCCTAAACCCTAAACCCAAAAAGGAATCTACCTGAGGACTGTCTGAGCTGCTGGCACCTCGATAAACGCCCCCTTCCGCCTTCGCAGGAGTCGCCGATTGAAGGCTGCGAGATTCAGGCCGCACTGCTATATCCCCCTTGGGAGTTATGTTTTGTTTTTGTTTACATAAAACCCAAGAGGATACTAAAATTACTGATGTTTTTTAAGGTTCTCAAGGGAGTATAGACTGGGCTTTCTGGCACTTGCTCTCAAGCTTCCCGGGCACCTTGGCGCTTTAGGGCCTTTGGGGTCTAGTGGGTCGAGTAGCTGGTATTGACAATGACTACGCAGCTCCACTGCGTTGCATCAAGCGAAGCCCCCCCCCCCCCCCCCACGCCCGAAAACCCGTACAGCCGCAACAGCCCGACCGCCCTAAAGCTCAAAGCCCTAAAGCCATAAAACCCCCAAACCCGAAACCGGAAAAGCCTCAAACCCTAAATGGTCACCTCTCTAAGTATGGTCTCTTTTTGGGGGGGTCCTTCTACTGGGGTCCTTCCTTTGCGGCGGCCCCCCGTCAATTTCGGGTACCCAAAGAGGGAACCATCATCGGGAGAACTGGCCGGGTAGTTATATGGAGCCTTAACATGGTCCCTTACCTCCTTTCAAGGGCTCTGAAGTATGGGAACTTGGGTTGTGCAGGGCACATACGGGGTAAAAAAGGGGTCCCCTTGAAAAGGGGCCAACACGAAGAGACCCGGTAACTTCCCTTAGACACGCTAAGCCCGGCTCTAAGCCACAGCAGGAGGAGCCGAACATCTGTCACCAGTGCAGGGAACACTTCGCCATGAATGCGGAGCGCACACCTCTCACTGGCTTCGGGAAATTTGGGGGGTTTTGGGTGTTGAGGGTGCAGGGTTGGGAGTTTGGAGGTTTTAGGGATTCGGGTCGAGGTTTAGGGTTTGGGGTTTGGAGTTTTAGGATGGGGTTTAGGAGTTGGGGTTTGGAGGTCAGGGCTTGGGGTTCGAGGGATGTGGTGTTTAGGGATTAGGTTTTTTGGGCGATTGGGGTTCTGGGTTGGGGAAGGGGAGGGGGGGGGGCATGCATTCTCCAGGGTCTACGTTCAAGGGATTCAGACTCGGACCCCCCAAGGTTGTACACCTAAAGGTATTCTCCTAATGTGGCCCTTATAGATCCTTGAAAGAGGGACCCCAAAACCCAAGGGTACAACCTGAAGGGTCCATGGTAGAACCCCGAGATACCTGTCGGGTTTATACTGTAGGGTCTTATAATGTGTAGAGTGATTGTCGTGGGGTGTCAGGTTTCGGGCGACATCTATTTACTTTGGATGAGCAGGTTGGAGAAGGTTCTGGCCGGGCACATGGATATTTGGGGTTCTTGTTCCGGAACCTAAATTTCGTTAGTATAACAGGGGGAAGAGTATCAGCAAAGCTGTGGAAATCCCAGTCCCTGGAGTTCTTATCTGCAGGGTCCCCCCGATTTCAGGGGTCTTGTGTTCTGCCACGCGCACCTCTTGAAGTTTTGGGGGTCTCGGTTCTCAGAGCCCTCTCCAGAAGAACTGCAGAGCTCCCAAAAACCACACCGAGAAGCTACCGATACGCTGGACGCCTTGCAGGACGGCACCCTCTGCTTGTACGATCGTGAGGCAGCTTCCGGGGGGGGGGAAGGGCGGGGGGGAAGGAGGGAGGATCGCATCCCAGCAGCATGATTTCGCACGTTCCCCCTCGCTGGTCTCAGCATGGATCTCAGCCAGGGCTCGATCATCTGGCTGGTGGATCACATCCATGCCATGGGCTGCCTAGTCGCGCGGAAGGGGGTTCCGGGGGCCGATGGCTTCAGAAGCGAGAGCTCGCGGATGTGTTCATTCTAGGATGTAACATCCGGAGATCCGGGGGGCTAAACCTACAAGGGCTTACGGTCCGTGCTTATCTTGACAGGATTTCTGAGTTGCTTCCCCCTGATGTAGGGTTCCTTGGTCAAAGCGAAAGCGCGGGAAGCCGCACAAGGTTACTGGGCTTGGATCTTCGTCTTCGCATTGCTGTTCTGCTGCTGCTGGCAGGAGAGCAGCCGTGGTTGTGTTTGAAAGCCTGGCCTTTGTGTGATCCAGGTATTTCAGACTTGCCTTCGCGTCTGAGTTCTTGTACTGTCATGATGATGGGTAAGAAAGTGCCACAGTATGATGGTTGCGTGCAGACAGGAGTCCCCCCTCCCCCACAGCCCCACATGGCGTCTTGCAGTCTACGGGGTGCTCAGGGGGGGGGAGGGACAAAAACCCCAAACACCCACGAGCGGACGCCCTTCAGACCCTCAGCCCTGTAAGCCCCAAGAAGCCCTACGAATCCTTACGCCCTAGAGACCCCCCAAAAACCCTATAAACCCTGCTCAACCTATAAACCTCCCTGCGAACCCTTTCAATCCTATGAACCCGACAAAGCCCCTCAGAAGCTCATAAACCTTCGAAACCGTATCATCCGCCCCTTTTGACCCTATAAACCTACATGCCCACAAGCCCTTTTGACCCAAAAAGCCCTGGCAAACCCCAAGACCCTATGAAATCAAACTAAACTGCAGCGGGTGATGCGAGGGTAGCGTGATTGCGATGTCTCAGGGCTCTCAAGGGGGTGCACAACGCACCGGTTTTCCAGGGAGCGCAGTGCTCCGTGCTGCAGCCTATGGCTATCACACAAGGAAAAGGGGCCCCTTAGTCCTCGGGCCCATATGTAGCGGGAGTTACAAGTTGGGTGGTTCTTCACTGTACATGTACATGCCATCGATGACATGACTCTCTGCACCACCACAAAACTCGTTCAGCGATGGCATCTGTACACATGTGGCGTTCGAGCGGGCATTCAAGTAGTCATCCACCTTGCCAATTGCTGTGCTCCCTTGCTGTTTCGACTTCTTGGCACTGACGAAGTTCTTGTCGAAGGCGATCGACCACAACCAGGTCTCGAGAAACTTCATGAGTCCATTGCGGGCATCACTCTTTTTCTTCGTGAGGCCGTCAGCAAGGTCGTAGTCGCTGGCCACCCATCTGAGCTCGCACCGAACTCTTCTGAGGTTCTCCCTTAACTGGAAGGCCTGCAATGCCGCCCGTAGATTTGAGAGTCCCAGCAGTGGACTCTCGTTCACTTCCACAGCATCGTAACCACCCCGGGAGTCCGTGCAAAGAACTCCACGCACTTGCATGATCTGCTGTTCGGCCACGAACACCAGGTTCTCTCGTGGATTGCTTCGTCGGGAAGCTCCATGTAGCTCGGTCCATACCAATCTCACTCGGAAGTTCTGGTCCTCGGCCTCCAGGATGCTCTGAACCTCCGCGTCATTGGAGCTTATAGACTTGCGCTGCAGTTTCCACGTTCGCCATGCCACCAAGGTCATCGGACAGACTTTTCCCAGCAGCGATTCCGGGCCAGCTATCATCGTCACCATACCTCCAGTCGAATCTCCTCGAGGTCGGTTTGTGTGAGCTTGATCCCCCATAGAGATCACAACCAGTTCTGTCCAATGTTTGGCAGTGGGTATCTTGAAGAAACGGAGCTTCACGCAGTGCCTGCGAACTTCCCCCAACATATCTTGGATCTCTCGCGCATGAGCTAGGGTTCCTTCCACCACGATCTCTGTCAAGAGGATGTTGCACCTGGCACATAGTTGAGGTTGGGTCTGAATGGCCAACCATTGTAATGCCCCAAGTGTTGTTCTGCAAGCGCCGACTTCTTGGGGACGTAGGGATCCATTGTCTCGGAGTCGTTCAGGAGGAATTGCAAGATCGGGGATTCCCTCCACGTAGTAGGACTGATCCACCTCGATTGCGAAATTGCCGTCGGGCTGCCACACGGTTGCGACATCCGTTCCAGCATGTCGATAGTTGCCTTTCTTGGCCATTCCCCAGCGATACGCCGTGTCGATCTTCTTCTTGATCTCCAGCCATTCTGGTGAACCATCTCCAAGTCGATGAAAGTCATCAACATGTCCACCCATAGCTCCAATCACCAGGGGAAGATCACGGTCCTTTCGCTCCTTGGACAGCCAAATCCACAGGCATCGCTCCGCCATGACCGGTATTGCATCCATGGCCGTCAGCTTCTTGTGGAGGTCCAGCCAAAGTCCCCTTGGTGCCGTCGTGGACCCATAGATATTCCGAAGGATTCGCATGATCCCTTCAGAACCAACATTCAGAGCGTTTCTTAACTCCTCCACTCCTGTCGTCCACAATCGCTCATCTGCTTCTGTTGGCTGTGTCTGAAGGAAAGCCGTCGCCAGGTCCAGACCCTCGATCTCCCACTGGTGTTGCGCGGACATCTGGTACAACAAGTTCCGGCCAATGGTGGACTGGACAGGGGCTGCCGTCTTGAAGTTCCTGTCCAACAAACTCGGATGTTGGAATCCAAGTAGTACAATACGCGCCTTGGCCTTTCGCGAGCCATCTCGATTGTGCAGGGTGCTGGGGTTCTCCATGGCATCTACCTTGGCTGCTTCCCTGTCTTCTGGTGGCACCAGCTTCCACGTCAGCACCCATCTGGCCTTGACAATGCGGTTGCTGTCGTAGGCTTCACGGATCTCTTGGTTCGACAGGCATTTGCGAACGGCTTCATTCGAGAGAAATGAGTCCACCTCTTTTGTCTTCGCTCTCTCGAAGAGACGACGTTCGTCAGGCGAGATCTTTGACAGCACCACCTCCGAGTCCCGCATCTTCTTGACCAGGTATGCAACGGGGTTGCGCTCCAACATCTTTGCCTGCCGGTTGCTTGTCACCGATGGTATTTCAAACTCGATCTTCAGGAACTCGACCGTCTCGTTGAGCGCCGTAAGAATGTCCATTTCCTGACTCTCCACCTCCGCTTCAGCATGAAGTGCCTCGACCCAAGAGGCTTCAGAGATGGTAGTCGATCGCCGTGGATCATCTGCTCCCTCGACCTTGTGTCGCTTGGCTTGTGGTGGTTCGCGTATCGGGGCATCATCTCGGCCTTGTCCAGACCCTTGTGACGCTTCCACATTTCCATCTCCACTGGTACTTGGTCCATAATCGTTGACATTCTCCACCTCATCTTGTAGCCGGTCTCGCACAGGATGCTCCGTCCACTCGCCCGGCTTGAAGGATGTCTTTTGGCGTAGTCGTCGAACAGGAGCCACCACCGTCGTCGTGCTGTCTGGTTCATCAGGTAGATCAGGCACTTCACGCTCATTCTCATCAGGTTCCTCATCAACGACGTCTTGGTATTCTCTTCGAGGGAGGATGTCGGCCAGGGTTTTCCATTTGGTGTAGTTCTCCTCACCACTGACTTCAAACTGGAATCTTTCGGACTCTGTTACATGCCGTACAGAGTGAACAGAGCAGCGATACAGCTGGGCCCCGATGATCACCCAGACAATGTGTCGCCTTTGGTCACCCTGTTCTTGATGAGGAAGAATCTCGTGAAAAACCACTCGCCCAGGTCCAATCCAATGAGGTCGTCCTGCCTTTTTGAGCCCCCCTCTGGGACCCTTGTGGATTTCTGGAGGCCAGAAACTTCCTCCAGATTTTCACCAAGTCCATCTCCTTGAACTCTCGCAGCGGTTGTCGAACGGAAGTGTTTGCCAGGCGAGTGAGGACACGTTGGGCCTTGGTTCGTCTGGCGATCTCCTCAGCTTGCTGTCGGGCCGTTACCAGGGCAGTGAAGTCCTGTTGTTGGGTTGCAGGTATAGACGCAAAGGTCCGGTAGTCTTCATCCGTGATGTTGTAGTTCTGACCATAGGCCCACTGATAAGCCGAATACCCTGCCGTGTACTCCGTGGAATTCAGCGACGCAACGGCCAAATACAACGTCACCCGTGGATCTTGATGTAGCGCGTCCCTTTGAATTGCTGTCGCCGTGGTCTTGACATCTTGGACTCCTGCTTCTGCCACTCCATGACTCCAGTGTTCCGTCTCCGCTACGAAGTGTGGAAGGATGTTGACGGATGCCAGGAACTCATGTACCCTTGCCGACGTGAAGGTCTTCGCAGCATCCATGATCACCACCTTCGGTTTAGGAAACACACTGAGCCATTTCTCTGCGAAGCTTTGGATCACCATGTCGGCCGACTCTGCATCCATGGACAGGGCGTCGTAAATCTTCAACGGAGCCACAGCCCGTAGTTTGGTGGCGTAGTCCATGAAGAGGAGAAATTTCACCTTTTGTTTGGAGCCAGGCACTGGCCATTCAGCTGCGTCCACCGTAACTGCTTCCCACGCTCGATAGTGTGGTTGTGTGCTGGTAGGTGGTATCGTTCCAGCACTGGTTCCACCCAGTTTTCCAGCCTCACAGGCCGGACACTTGTGTTCGAGAGCGGCTCGAACCTTCCACTCAGCATGTCCACCATCTTCCACAATGCTGGCAAGATTCCGATTCGTCGGATGCCCAGCCGCTCGGTGGAACTTCGCAATCTTGGCCTTCCAAGCTTCATACTCCTTCTTATCCACACCAGGAGGCAGTGCAGTCTCACTCGGCGTTGTCGTGGTCGTTGTAGAGGGTGAAGAAGACTGTCCTTGTTCCACAGCGAACTGGTAGTTTGGGCCCTCAAGTGCCTTCTTGGGAAAGCCCACATCCACCAGGTATTCCTTGTCGTTCGTGGGCAGCTGCGACGCCAGCCTCGTCACATAGGTCGCGATCACGATCCGATTTCCCTTCCACGATTGGGTGGCATGTCCATTCTTGGAGTCGAACTTCACGACCTGATGGTGCGTTGGTTGCAAATAGCCGCGAACCATCCGTCCACTTGGCAGCCTTCGATGCACTCCTCTCTCTCCATCAGGTGGTTGTCCTTGACACCATAAGCCTCCACCAGAGTAAGAGCCAAGCCCAATCAGGTAGCTGGGTGCCTCCGGAAGATTGTTGTGATCACAATGTACCGACGTCTTGACGTTGAGGTTTATCGCCACGCTGGACCACAGAGCACCTGGTGGTAGATGTCGACGAAGGAACTTGTTGACATACTTGACAACCTCGGGGTACTGTTTGGTATAGTTGAGGACTCCCATGAAGGCGCCGTGCGAATAGGCCCCAAAAGCGAAGCTGTTTTTCCCAGACGTGGTCCCACGCTGATGCGGTTCACCACCTCGCTTGTTGTGCTCGAAAAGTTGTTGTATGATGCCTTCGCAGTCGGCAATCTCCAATTGTCCTCGAGCACAGGCCTCTCGCGCTCGGTGTTCTAGTTGTAGTCGGTCTGCCTCAACCATGTAGTGATGTTCCTCCAGCACGGTTGCCATCATTACCGCTTCATCCACCAGGTCCACCTCAGCCTCCTCGAGTACATCGGTGGGTTCCGGCAAATCTTGAAGTGCTGGTAGATCATCACGAAGCGATAGTAGCGCATGATGTCGATCAGGAACCACTTGCTTCTTCCAGGTCCTCACGAATGCCTCCACCATGCGCCACGGATAGTAGGCGGTCCTGGAAGTCTCTCCTCCAGTGATGCTGCTGTGGGTGTGGTTCCCTGGACATAGCTTGGACCTGTACTCATGATGAAAGCGCTCGTTCGATGTCATGATGGTCCACCGTTTGTGAACGAAGGCCTCCCCATGACTGTCTCGAAGTCCGTAGACGCAACCATCTACCCGACATGGTAGCCATGGGAAGTCATTCTGGTCCAGCCACGCCTTCAAGTCCAGCATCGCCTGTTGTGACCACCCCAGGCAGCGAGTAGGCCACTCCCCGTAGATGTCGACGTCTGGATCGTCTTGGAGCGTCTCCATGATGAACTTTGCGGCGTGTCGAAGCATCTTTCTCTCCTTCCGTCGTTGTGCCTCCAGGACCTCTTTCCTTTCGGAGTCCCGAAAGTTAACTGCTGTCCATGGACACCACTTCGTGCACGGCAGCGAAAACCACAAACGCCGAGGCCTCTTTTGTTGCCGAAGGTCTCGTAGTTGTTCCCACGTTGCCTCCTTGTACAAGTCATAGCCAGCCTGATAGTTGACACGTCTGGGAGCCAGTCCGTGGGCGGAAGCCGACTCAGATAGCCAGCTGTGTGGTGAGCATGCAATCTCCCAGACACCGTCTCGTCCATCCAGCTGTAGATTTACGAGCGACGTTGCTGCCGCCGTGGCCATGAGTGTTGCCATCGCCATCACTCGATGTGCCAGCTTGGTGGTGAGCGGCTTGTACTTGTTCGCATTCTTCACGGTACCAGGAATGCTTCGGCCTCGTAGTCCACAATCAGCTCCTCGTCTTGGTCGTCCTCGTTGGTGTGGATTGCCGTCGCGGTCACGTCGTTCGCCGGTGCGGTGGATGGGTAGCTGGTTCGTCGTGTCGTCGGGGCCGTCGCGGTGAGCAACTCCTTGATCGACTTCTCCAAGACCTCCTCCGCATAGATCTTCGCCATCATGTGGTGGCACACCTTGGAAGTGGGTCGTGCTCCATTCAGCAAGGTCTTGAGTTGCTCCAGCATCTTCTTGACCGTGGCAGCATTGTGTGTTTGTGTCGTGTTTGACGGTGATCCCTTTCTTGGCGTGTACAGAAGGCGCAGGTTGCAGACCTGGCATTGCACCCACTGGCCATGGGCATTGGATTGTGCTGTGCTGGGCAGGTGGTCGCCGTAGCACGGCCAGCATTTGGGATGTGCCCTGGGATCCCTCTTGTCCATCTTCATGCAGCGCGTGGGGTCCAATGAGCGAGGACGTTGCTTCACCGTCTGGGCCTTGGCCTTCGCCGCCGCTGCAAGGATCTCGGCCGCCTCCGTGTCGATGTTCACGTTGGTCGTCGACATGATTCGAAAAGCGAGTAGGGGATGTTGTCGGGGCTTCAAGCGACTGTGCAGTCGCGAGCATCGATCTGAAATGGGCTGAGATAGGGATGCCTTGCAGTTGTCGTGAACGCTGGTACATCTCAAGCAATCGAAGTCGTGATTGATGCAGATCATGTTCCGTGTCAGCAGCTGCCAAATCAAACTGCACTACATGGAGTTCCAGCACATGCACTTCAGGCTTGACGTCATGATGTGCTTCTGCTGATACGACAACATGTGCGTGCCCTTCATGGTTTTGATGACCAAGGGTTAGATACTCAGTAATGTCCAGCATGAAGTGTCCCTTGTGATTCTGGGAAAGTTGAAGAACCTTGGGATTTTCATCTTTCGTGCTCGTAGACAAACCCGTGGTAAAGTCTATGATCATCCCGTTGCCGACCTTCCCCAAGAAATCCATACCGATCAAGATGGGCACTAAGGAGGCCTTGTCAAACCCGGCTTGAAAGTACTCCTTGGGGTTCGGTAAGGCATAGAGGGCGCAGCTCCTAGTGGATCCCGAAACCGAGCTAGACAGTTGTACGCGGTAAAGCGCCCGACCCCAACGACCATCACCAAAGCGAAAATATGGCCGAGCACTCTGATCGATGTCCACTCGAGCTCCATGGTCCTTCTCTAGGATTGAGGCAATGAGCCCTTTGACCACTGCCTCTGGCGCGGCTGACGCCGTAGCGCCGCAATCAACCATGCCCAGCTCAGGTCTGGTAGTCGTGGACGTTGCGGTAGCGGCTTCCATTGACGATGTGAGCTCCAGACCGCCAATGTACATGTCACTGCTGTAGGCATTCACGGTGCGGGGCAACCAGTCGTTGCTCTTGCCCTTGCCTTTCCACACGGCATCAGCATCCATGTAGAAGCCCTTCTTGTTCTTCCCCTTCGCGTTTTTGGACTTGCCCTTCACGTAGTACGCATCCATGTCCGTCATGTAGCCCTGCTTGGACTTGCCTTTGCCCTTGCCCTTACCAAAGTATGGATGACGTCGATCGGGGCAATCTCTTGCCATGTGGGGCCCACCGCAGTTGAAGCACTTCATAGGCCCCTGCGTAGCTGCCAACGTAGCACCAAAGCCGCGGTCCTTCTTCAGTGCAGCCGTTGCTTTCTGTGCCTCCGTCCATGTACGCTGGGCCTCCACCAACGCAAGAGACTCCGCCATTTGCTCTGCTTGTTGGGCCTCACGTAGCTTTCTTCATCGACGCCATCAGACGCCGCAAGGGCTGCAGCTCCCATGGTCTCAGCCGCAGACCAATCATCATTCCACCACTCATCGTCATGTCCCATGTAGTACGAGTAGCCGTCCTCCCACCAGCCGTCATCGTTCCATTCGTGGTTGTAGTCCTGGTAGAACGCGTTGGCATACTCGTCATGTTCGTGCACATACTTCATGTGGTAGCCAGGTTTGGTCCGGTTCCGATTGCCAAGGAGCTGGTCATCCCACAAGTTCTGCAACGCGGTGGCAATCATATCGTAGTCCAAGCTGTTCTTCGTGGCCGACAAGATATCTCTCATCTCATCGGGAGACAACCCTGCCGCCTGCAACAACCTCCAACCACGAAGAACACCCATGATGAAGCTGTCGGCCAGCGTGAGCTCATCCACAGTCTCCACAGGCCCGCCCCTGGCTGATGCTGCGCCATCGCCACGATCTCGTTCGGCACCAGTCATGGTCCCACGGTTGCTGGGAGAGGAGCCGGTGGCTCCAACCGGGGCACCCTGGGTAGGTGTTGCTGCCTCTTCTTCCGCGGTCTCACCAGTTTGCTCAGCACCATCTGGTTCTTCAGGTTCTGGATCATCAGGTCCTTCCTCTTCTTCCCAGTTCCAAGATGCCCATGTGGTAGCGGACCAAGTAGCATCTTCCCACTCGTCAGCAGGAAGTCCGAAATCGCGATCTTCTTGAGATACTCCCTGCTTCTCCTCGTAGAGCCTGATGATGGCTTCACAGAACTCTTCGTGAACCAGCGTCTCCCTCACCAGGAAGTTGCCGATGCTTTCCTGGTGACTTCTTCTGAAGGCGAAGTACTGTTGACAGATCGCCGCAGCATTTGGCAAGCTCTTCCGTACAAGCGGGCTTGCTGCCAGCTTCCTTAGGAGGATCTTCGTCCCGTCGTGGCGATCCACCAGCATTCTCGACCATGACATAGCCAGCAAGCGTGCCGGCCCCGTCAATCTCCCAAGTAGTTGGCTAGCGCAATACCTGCGCTTGTGAACAGCAGTTCCTTGAACATACCAGGCCACCTCCCGTGTGTATCGCCTCCATGTCCTTGCGCTGCCATCCCAGGAAGGGATGCCGGACTTCATTTCTCGAGAGTCCGCCATCGTCGTCGATCACGTGGATCTCTTCGTGGTGCTCGATGTCGTAGAGGAAACCTCGTAGTAGTGCCCGGTGACGTAGAAGTCGAAGAAAGAAAGAAAAGGGATTCCTGCTCCTTGAGCAGGTCACTGAAGGCCGGGAGGTCTGGTAGTCATCAGCAGTTGGGCCAGCAGTGTTCTGAAGGAAAAAGGCGGGGAGCAGCCCAGCCAGGAACCAAGTCGTCCCCGAACCTGAACCGCTCCGCTACCAATGCAGCGGGTGATGCGAGGGTAGCGTGATTGCGATGTCTCAGGGCTCTCAAGGGGGTGCACAACGCACCGGTTTTCCAGGGAGCGCAGTGCTCCGTGCTGCAGCCTATGGCTATCACACAAGGAAAAGGGGCCCCTTAGTCCTCGGGCCCATATGTAGCGGGAGTTACAAGTTGGGTGGTTCTTCACTGTACATGTACATGCCATCGATGACATGACTCTCTGCATAAACCGAAAACCTGAAACCGTAAACCTTAAAGGACCTCCCTAAACCCTAAACCCTAAACCCTAAACCCTAAACCCTAAACCCTAAACCCTAAACCCTAAACCCTAAACCCTAAACCCTAAACCCTAAACCCTAAAACCCTAAAACCCTAGAACCCTCTCAAGCCAAACGAAGCCTCAAGCCGCCAGCTCCGCTCTGGGCTGATGAAGCATTGGCAGCTCCTCACCTTTGCGCGGCTGCACTACCACCTTTGCAAGGCAAACGGGTTCCGGGTTTGCAAGGAGAAACCCGAAACCCGAAACCCTAAACCCTAAACCCTAAACCCTAGACTTTAGAGGGTTTAGAGGGTTCAGGGCTTCTAAGGTTTCGGATGGTTTAGGTTTAGGGTTCAAGGGCAAGGTTCCGGGTTTGTCGGGTCTTACGGGGTTTGGGGTTTACGGGTTGCGGGAGTTGGGGAGGGTGTGGAGGGTGTCGAGGGATCTAGAGGGGTTTCTGGGGTTGTTGGGGGTGTAGAGGGTTGATAGGGTTACATGGGGTTTATATAGGGTACGGATGGCTGTTGAGAGATTTCTCCGCGAAGCTCAGAGGCAGCCGCAGACACGAAACCATCAACCCCTTGCAGCAACTTAGGGTTCAGGTTTCGGGGTTTAGGGTTTACAGGGTTTAGAGCCCTACACCCTAAACCCTAAACCCTAAACCCTAAACCCTAAACCCTAAAGCCTAAACCCTAAATAACCCTAAACCCTAAACCCTAGACCTCAAACCCTAAACCCTAAACCCTAGACCCCCAAGACTGCCCCCTGAAAAGGTGCGGAAGAATCCCAAAGTGCACGCCGGCGCCCCGCTTTTCAGCGGCTCTGCTCACATGGGAAGATCGGTTCGGGTTCAGGGGGTTCAGGGGGTTCAGGGGGTTCACGGGGTTCGGGGTTCAGGGGGTTCAGGGGGTTTAGGGTTTAGGGTTTAGGGTCTACTGGGTAGGGTTCAGGGGGTTTAGGGTTGAAGGGGGTTCCGGTTTCGGTGAGACCAGACTCCGCATTGCTTGTGCTGGAGGCATCTGCGAAAACCTGCACACCAAGTGTCTTGGCTTGAAATCCTCAGTCCTGTGCACAGCTTATTCTTGAGGTGTCGCAACCCTAAACCCTAACCCCAAAACCCTAAACCCTAAACCCTAAACTCTAAACCCTAACCACTTGTATTCCTCGGCCCCTGGCAGCAGGATCCTTTCAAGGTGTCGGCAGTTGGTGTTATTCGTCAGACGCGATCGCCGCTTTTGAGTCACACGGAGAGGTTCAATGGCACATTTGGGTGGTTGTCAAAATTATGATCCCTTTTGGGGTACCCTAAATATTAGGTGACGTATTCAAATAGGGATCCAAATAGGGACAATGATTTTGACAACCACCCATTTAAGTGTTGGTCCAAAGTATGAAGCTCTGTTTGCCCAGGTTTGTGATTGGCGTGGGCTTGCCGCTGTACTACAACTCGTTGATCTTCCTGCTCATCCTATCTGCTGCTTGCCACGGAAAGCCGGGATGTAGTTGCAAACGGTCAGCCCCAAGCACGATGAAGTGAACTCCCAAGCCCCCAATCCTATACCCACCCTGAAGAGCGAGCCCACCGAATTCGGCTTTTGAAGGTTTTGTGTTGAGGTCTCTCAGAGAGGTCGAGCGCGCCTTCCCGGACCCAAGCGAGGGGATAGATGGGAGTGGGTCTAGGGCTTAGGGTTGAGGTTTCGGATCTAGTGTGGGGAGTGGGATGATTGTGGGGGCCCACAGGTGAACCAAAGACGTTGTAAGAATAAGGAGGGCTGGCACATCCCAGTCCTGCAGAAGGAGCGCTGAGTTCTCTTCTAGTGGGACAGAGAACCTTCGCAAGGGAGGACCTCGTGAAAAACCTAACCCCTCAACCCTTTCACCCCTATAAACCCTATCAGCCCTGTAAACCCTATAAACCCTATAAGCCCTATCAGCCCTGCAGACCCTATAAACCCCATAAGCCCTATAAGACCCTTTAAACCCCATAAAACCCCATAAGCCCTATACTTAAACCCCATAAACCCTACAAGCCCTACAATTAAACCCTGTAGGCCCCCCAAAAAACCCCCCAAACCCTTGGCAAGCTGAAGGTCCTTCTGTTCCTTGGGGCCCACTTTGCCTTGGACAGCGACTCGCAGAGTCGCTCCAAGGCACTGGGGGTTTAGGGTTTGGGGTTTAGGGTTTGGGGTTTAGGGTTTAGGGTTTAGGGTTTAGGGTTTAGGGTTTGGGGGGGAGTCTCTGACCCGAGGCTCCGGGCACCTGAATGTCCCGGAGCGAAATGTTTGTGTATCGTAGCTATGCATTATTGTCGTATGTGGTATATACAGTATGTCTTCTTTTAATATGCATGCGTAGTAGAAGATAGTATAACAATACCCTCCCCCAGACCCCAAACATCCCCAAACCCTCCAGGGCCCCAAACCCCTCAACCCAAAAAGCCCTAAACTCTCCGAACCCGCGAGGCCCTAAGCCCTGCGCGGCTGAGGTCTCTTCAACTACTCGGGGGTGTCGTCCAGTCCCTTGCAGGCAGAACGCTGAAAGTTTTCATGCTTCCGTTCCCACCAGCAAAGGGAGTTTAAGGTTTAGGGTCTTAGGGCTTAGGGGTTAGGCAGCAGTTGCATTGAGGTGGTGCAGACACTGAACCCTAAACCCTAAACCCTACACCCTCAGCCCTAAACCATCGCCCTTCGCAGTTCCGCGGCGTGCCGATCTATCCATCCGCAGAAGGCCGTGGACATTGGGGCAGCTTCAGTGTTCGTAGGGCTGAGATGTGAAGGCTGCAGAAGAGAAGAAGAAGACATGGGGGCTTGCAGGGTTTACGAGGCGCTATGTAGGCTTCGATCAGGGTTTCGAGGGTTTAGGGCAGAGTTTCTAGGGCTCAAGAGGACTGGCAGAGGGCGATCGGTTTCTGCATCCCTGCACCCTGGGACCCTAAACCCTAAACCCCAAACCCTAAACCCTAACCCTAAACCCTAAACCCTAAACCCTAAACCCTAAACCCTAAACCCTAAACCCCAAACCCTAAACCCCAAACCCTAAACCCCAAGCCCCGTCGGCTTACTGGCCAGGCACGTCCGACGCGTCGATCTGCAGCTGGGCCATGGATGCGCCTCGACCGATCTGGGCCCTTGCCTTGCGAAATCCCCTTTGGGTTTAGGGTTTAGGGTTTAGGGTTTAGGTTTTAGGGGGTTTAAAGGTTTAAGGGTTTAGGGTTTAGGAATTTTGTGGGTGTCTTTTGTGTGAGTGGCTCATGACTGTAGCAGAAGAATCCCCCAGCTGATGTGTTGATTCAGGGTTTGAGACTGTGTGGCTTGTTGGGTCACACTGAGGCAGCAAAGCAAGCCTTTCGAGGTTTGTAGGGGCGGATGTGTGTTGATTCGTTCTTGGGCTCCAACCAGATCCAGTCTGAGCCCCCCGAGCAATTGAAAGTGACCCCAGCTAGAATACATTAGAATACAATCAGGCTGGGAGCAGGAAATTATTGCAAGGGCATTTCCGTCGACCGGCGTACCGCAGCTCCAGGATCATGGGCTGACGCGCTTCAACGTGGACACCACCGCCAAGGCTAGCAGCCTCTCCGTGTGCGTGTGCGCGTGCATGCATTCAAGGTCTGCTAGGACCGAGAGTGCCCTGACATCGGCAGTCGAGAGCCTCTTTATGAGGTTTGGGTTCTTTGGTTAGCGCTTCTGTGCTTGGAGTCGTGGAGTTTGTTCCTGGGCAGGGCTTCATGCGCCGCCTCTCGATGACCTCTGGCGCAGTCAGGGCGGGGGGAGATGGGAGCACGTGCCCAACTTTGGGGTCTTGCTGCAATGTCTCCTTACATCAGGGCCACACCCCGATGACGTCCTCGTGAGCTTAAATGGCACAGGTAATTGTGCCCCCTTAACTCTGAACCCGGACCCCAATACCGTTCAAGCACCAGACTTGCCAAGGAGTGTGCTGTTCCTTTGGCTGCTTGGCACAAGGGCGAGAAGAGCTTCCAGTTTAGGGTTTAGGGTTTAGGGTTTAGGGGCGCAGACTTCTGCATCTTCGGGCCGCTCTTTTTGCTGGAGTTTCGGAGATCGGCACAGAAACCGAGAGGCAAAACCAATCTTTAGGTAGCGCTCCCCGAACCAGACCTTCGCCTGAGAGATCTGATTCACCATATACGCATCCCGAAATCCCCTAAACCCTAAACCCTAAACCCTAAACCCTAAACCCTAAACCCCAAACCCTAAACCCTAAACCCTAAACCCTAAACCCTAAACCCAAAAGAGCCCTCCAGTTGCAAGGTTTGCCGGCATGCTGATCATGCTGGCCCATGCATGGTTCCAGCTGAAGCATGCCAAGTGCCTGGGATCTCAATCCTAGGTAGGATAAGGTTAGGGTTTAGGGTTTAGGGTTTAGGGTTTAGGGTTTAGGGTTTAGGGTTTAGGGTTTAGGGTTTCCTTAAAAGGGAACCCTTCTTAACCCTCTTCTGGCTCTCTTAAACAGGGACC